ACTACTACTACTACTACTACTTGACTGTTAGTACCAGTACTAGTGCTACTGCTGCTGCAACCACTAGCACGGGTGCTACCACTACTTCGGTTGCCACTGCTATTTATTGTCTCTACATTACGACGACGGCTTCTACTGCTACTGCTACTATGACTTCCAGCACTGCAATTACTACTGCTAGTACTGCTACTACTTCTTCTTCTGCTACCGCAACCACAACAACAACAAGTATTACATGTACTCTTACCTACCAGGACAACTGCTACTACTTTTATTGCTACTACTTCTGCTGACATGGGAAGATGGAGTACTGGTACAAACAATCGGAGCAGTAGTAGACATAGTAGTAGTAGTAGTAGTAGTAGCAGCAGCAGGAGTAGTAGTAGTAGTAGTAGCAGCAGCAGTAGTAGTAGCAGTAATAGCAATCCCGATTGCATATAACAAAAGTGGGAGCAGCAGCAGGAGCATTAATCATGCCAGCAGTACCAGTAGTATCGGTACTGACACATGGTAGCAGTAGAAGCAGCAGCTGGCAGTTAGTAATTGGTATGGCTAGCAATTATTTTTCGGTTTTCAACTATTGTATGTAATAGTAGTGGGCAAAGTTCTATGTACAGTCTTTAAACTGCAAGTACATTTGGTTTCTTTTGAATTAACATGGCAGCTAATCTGAGGCATGAGCAGTGAGTAGCCTGTATAACAAGTATGAAGTGGTACTACTTAGGTATAGCAAGCAAGTACTGTTGGTATTTTGTACCAGGCGGTGGGATGATGACACAATGACCACGATGACAACTACATGAACAATGACAACTGCTACGACCACTGCCACAACTGCTAGTGCTGCTACTAGTACCATCTACCAAATACCCACCTGTGCATATATATGTACGTAGATAGAGACTGTGCCTACCACACATTACTGCTACTTATCTATACTATGTGCCCCCCTCTAATTGCTACAGTACTACCTTGTGGCCTGCAATGTTCTGAATACCACCTATCATGAAACAAACACTACTCTTGGTCAACTGTTATGAGGACTATAGTTCTATCACCCAACAACAAGGACGAGCTTCGAAAATCTGAAGACCCAAGCCGAAACCCTTGATCGAATTACAACCCTTCTTGCAAGCCAGTACCTTCAATCATCAGCCAAGACTCCTCGATGCCAAAATATTGCCTTTCCTCACACACTCGTATTGTACATTTCCAAGCGGCAGGAATGGCAGTCGACCGTGGGTCCCGCTGCTTACAATCACGAAGCTCGAGCATACAACTGCAAACACAGCCAAGCACTTGTCTTCCACAGCACCCATCACTGATGCCAAAGCGAGCCTGGGCGCACATGAGAGGTGGCTGCAAAGCTACAACACAAACTAACCATCCTGGACATGTCACGAAAAGCTTCATACAGTGCATGCTTCAGTACAAGCACGCACACAACTAAACATCACAAGTGTTTGGCTAGCTGAAGCAACCAAAGAACGCCATCCCGGCATCCGTCAAGAGGTCCATAGCATTCTGCTTTCCAGGGGCTGGGTTTCCAAGCTTAATGTCGAAGCTGCCCACAGCATGGCCAGCGAACCGGAGCATCCGACTAACATTGCCAGCCCCAGAAAAGAACTCCAGGGCATCGAAAGCCTTCGACCGAGTCTCAACTACATCACCCAAACACAACCTCCTGCAAGCAGACTCCATCAGACCAGGGGCCTGCCTCCAGAAACTTCACATCCACATTGCTGGCATAGTAGATGAGGATGACACAGGCCAGCAGGATCTGCAGCACAGAAAATCTATGAATCAATGGTGGAACTCATGGGTGGGTGATGTAGCTTGGCTGGGTGACTGAGCAAAACAATCCTGTTCATGCCAGTCCACCTTCGGGGCATCCATTCGTGCCAGGCGTTTCAGCAGAGCATCCAGCCGCACATCAGAGGTGGAGTCTTTGCGCATGGGCATTTCTGTGAGGGGCAAAAGAAACACAGTAAGCCAACGAGCACACTAAATGCCACAATGTCCAGGGATGTGCATACATTCTCTGTCTGCACTCTACACACATCTACATTGTCTGCTCATGCACTCAGCACTGTTTGTGCAGTGTTTGGGCAAAAGACTTGAAGCAACAACAGGACATAAGATTGATGCAGTGTCAAGAGAAAAGAAGTGTCACTCGGCACACATAGCACCCGAACTCAAGCATGCTGACACACTCAAGCACCGAGGTGTGGCCATTCTCCCCTGCCGGCAATAATCGCTGCCGCCAAGCATTGCCCCGGACCATGAACCACCTGGGCACACAATGACAATGCACATCTCAACATCTCACCCTATTTCGGGCATGCATGCAGCTGCTGTATGCACAAGTGCCTGCAGTCCGGAAGCGGCTTTTTTTTTCAACATGGGTGGCATCCAAAAGTGCTCCACTAAGATCGACCAAGCCTCAAGCAGCCATCTAGGCAGGCAGAGTCGGATTTGCTTACCCATCCAGGACTTGTGCTCCCCAGCCGAACAGTGCAAATGGAAAGGATTTTCATGACTTTACAACACAGTACCAGCACATCCGAGTTTGGTAAACAATTAAAAACACATAGCCAGCTCGGCCCGGAACTGCCTGCCCCGCAAAAACCACTCAGACACTGCAGCAGACACTCAAAGCACAGCTCTCAGAAAAGGAGCAAGCCTGACTTTGTCAGGGCCAGGGGCACCAACAGGCATCCGATGCTCAGCACACATCCTAAAAACCTTTCATGTTGCCACCACAGCTGAAGCCTCTTGGTTTAAACCCTTGTAGATATATCTGCCAGGAACACATTGGCATGGTGAGCCACAGTCAGAAAGAGTAACACGGTAGTCCCCGAAATGCTTGGGCATGTGTATCATGTATGGATATCTATGTGTGTGTGTGTCAGTATGTATGCGTATGTATGCATGCATACATGCATGCATGGATGTATGTATGTAATGTATGTATACATGGGTGTGAGTGTGCACACATGGATGCATGATTGTGGGAACTTCTCGATATCACAAATATCTGGCTTTTCTCATAGAAGAGTACAACACATAAACCTGTGCATCGAAATCACTGAAGTACCTGAACCCCACAAAGACACACCCTGTGTCCGAGAGAACCCATCTGCACTCATGATTGTACATGAACTAGCTACCAACAGCAACATACACATGTCTAGTCAAGCAAATCAACCAAAGCGATTCCTTCTACCTTTATTTGTGTGTAGATAAGTATACACAGCCCATATAAACTATAGTGCACATGAATACTGCACTACAATTAATTGATTACAAGACTTTGCATAAGCTTGCCTCTTTCTTAGTCAGCCTATCAGAGTCTATATCAGAAGAAGCTAAGCCATCGAAGGCCTGATAAAGGCAAAATGAAGCTCATGTGCCCTGCTCTACTGATCCATGCTTCAAGCAGTCCGAATCTTGAGCTCCTCCTTTAAATACTTCTTCGCCGTCCTCTTGGCGAGTCTCGCAAAATCAGTATCCTCATTATGGTCGATGTCGACCCACTCGGCCATGCAGTAAGTCCAGAAGGGATCCTGAGGCCAGGCCGATATTGGGATATATTGATATATCTATGCTGCTTCAAGCTTGCACGGACAAACCTACATACAATCACATACCATTGGAACTGCTTGTGTATGACACATGTAACTACTCAGTATAGGTCCTCGAACTTTGAAGGGAACTCAGGCAAGCGGTCGCGAACAAAGGTATCGAAGGCATCGCGAATCGCGATGAAGCGAGCCTTGTTCATGGGCTGCTTTGGCTGTCGCCTCCGCGCAAATGTCTTCAGTGTCGTCTCTTCCAAGGCTGCTTCACCCTGTGCCGAACTCTTCCGGCTTTTTTTCGGCTTGGATTCGGACTCCACCACCTTCTTTCCATCCTCAGCTGGAGCCTCGGTCTTGTCACGGCCCTTGCCCTTAGCGGAGCTCGTGCCCCTACCCCGGCCAGCTTTGCTGGCAACGGACTCAGCGACACCACCATTGTCGCCCCGTCCTTGGTGACCCCGTCCTTGGCGACCCCGTCCTTTGCCACCCCGTCCTCCACGACCCCGGCCTCGGCCAGTGGCCCCAGCTGAAGTGGTCTCAAGCTCTGGCTCAGGTGACGGCGACCGAATCGGACGTGGCACATCGTCGGCTCCAAAATAGACCGTGGCATTGTCGGCAATGTCATCAAGATCAGCCTCCTTAGGCTTCCGCTTGTGTTTGCCACACTTCTTTGCCTCGGCTTTGTCCTTCTCCATCGGCTTTATGTCGACCTCCACATTCGCCTCTGAAGATGGCTTCTCATCACCAGCCTCTGGCTCCAGCTCCTTCTCATCACACTTTGCTCTCTTCGGGGCGGCCACAGAGCAGGCAGCTGGACGCTTGAGTGGCTTCGTTTTCTTTGCCTTCTTGCAATCCACCTTGGAGTCACCACCAGGCCCACCCTTGGCATTCTTGACGTGCTCCCGTGCAGCAAGCTGCCCACGGCGAGTAACCTCATACAAGACAGCAGTTTGCATTGTTGCATCATGATCACCCACTCAAACATGCATGAATATATATATATATACACACATGTGACAAAACTTGAACAGTCACACCCTCATGTCATTCCAGGCAAGGAACGAAGTCTGGTGGCTCAGACCCTTGCTCCTCTAGAATCGTATCGACATCCTTCCAACTGGTAGCAGCTGCATCCAGAACCGATGCCTCAACAACCTGGGTCTCGGCTTCATCCACAGATGCAGCTGGATGGACGGGAACACTGGCAGCACCTGTCTCCAAATGGCACAAGCACATTCAAACCCATAGAACAACTTATGCATGAAACATATACAGACTAGACCCATGCACTCTATATGTAACTTATACAGCTTCTCATGACTATACATCAAACCTCTTTAGCAATGAAAATAACTTCTTTGGCGGAGCCCCACCTGGCTTGTCATTGCACGGAACCCCCCCATCCTTTACCATGGCCTCCCCAGCAGACTTCTCGTCGGAAGCTTTGGCCTCCCCACAAGCAGACTTCTCGTCGGAAGCTTTGGCCTCCCCACAAGCAGACTTCTCGTCGGAAGCTTTGGCCTCCCCACAAGCAGACTTCTCGTTGGAAGCTTTGGCCTCCCCAGAAGACTTCTCTTTGGCGGCCCTCATCAGTTGGCTCCTGCACACAATCACAACCCAGCAGCACCGAGTAACCCAAACGGAGATTGTCATTGGTATATATAGCAATAATATAGCACCTATTCAATGAAGTTTCAACTCAATGGTCCTTTTTCTCGCTGCTTGCAAGTTCTTCATCGCATAGATCGACTGCTTAAGCTGGCGAAGCTGCATGCAGTGACATTTGGACAACTTCCGTTCACAGGCATCACATACCTGCTGGTCCATTTCATCCACATCCACAACTTCACTGTCGAAGCGGTGCATCTTGCCTTTGGGGCCCGGTCGCTGGGAACCTGCTGATTCTGGGGCCACTGGAGGGGCATCAACAGCGTCTGTGGCAGGAGCCTCAGATGCCACCTCCACAGCACTGGAAGGCCTTGCAGCCGTCTCGCCATCCACTGGGGCGTGCTCCGCTTCAACAATCACACAAGCATCATCCACCTGCGTATCCACCTGTGTCTCAGCGAAGGCGCTGTCATCCTTGTCAGGCTCATTGTCGTCGTCACTGGACAACAGCTCCACATCGCTGTCGTGCAAAGATGTTTCATCTTCCGTGGAACCTGTCCATCAATGATTTAAAGCCAGAAATGACAGCAACATCTGATGAGAAACTAAATCATTCCGAGCCACCTGTATCCCCTGCATCCAAAGCTAGCGGGTGGTCACCAGCATCATGATCATCATCATCATCCTGCGGAATCCAAGCGACAATAATCAATGCAAACAGAGAGTCTTTAAGTGTGATAGCCAAAGAGGTATGATCTATCCTGGTCGGGAATGAATTCCAGGAGTTCCCGGAAATGCTCGCAGCGGGGAATTTGGCGACGCTGCTTCTTCCTCTTGAGGAGGACCACAAACTTTTTGCAGAGCCAAGCTTCTGCCTTCACTTGCTTCGCATCAGTTTGCACTTTGAGAAGCCGGTACAGCTTGGCAAGCCTAGGTTGCCATCGAGTTATTGTTACATGCATGACCACAGCACTGAAAAGGCAGTCTTCATGCATGCCCTGGAAATATGCAACCCAGTCACTCAGTCTCAGTTTGGAAGACACTGCACATCTGGATCTTGCCAGCAGAATTTCTTGGCCACGTCAAGATGGCTTTGAGCAACGGCTCAAGCACATCCTTGAACTTCCCACACTGCTTCACATTGGCATGCGGGAGTCCATCGGGCCGCTCGAAAACAGACCCGACCTGGCGAACACGTGCCCGGACGGAGGACACCTGCTCCCACATCTCTGCAAGCCCTCGCAACGAAGGCATCTTGCGCAAAGCCTACGTGTGAGGCCCCCTTCGAAAACACTGCAAAGCCAAAAGATCTAATCGACGAGCACACATAAAGCTGCAACAATCTGTCTTGCTCGACTGCATAATCACACACAGCATGCATGCTCAACTCTTCATATGAGTGCCTGGCCAGCTGAGCCGTCCCCAGAGGCTCAGCAGAGGCTCGCCGGAGCCCAAAAGATGGCTCTTGAAAGATGCTTCTTCCCAATACACAACTCAAGACATCCCGATTATGTCTTTTTGTGATCACTCAGAATCTGCATGCTCAGAAACATAGACCTCTCAGAAAATACGCACCTTTAGGTGTAAACCCTAACTTTTGGAATGAGATCTGGGTAATTCTGGAAGACCCATAAAAGGGTAGACCTTTCAGGCTACAGGTAGGGTTTAGGGTTTAGGGCCGCGTTAGGGTTCTGGGGTTCTGGGTTTATGGGTTTAGGGTTCAGGGTTCAGGGTTTTGGGGTTCTATACTTATTATGCGTGCTGCATAGGGGTGAGTATGAGGGGGGTAAAGAGGGGGCCCAAGATGGCGGCCTTAATAAGTCGTTCAGGGTTCCTTTCGATTCTCAAGGGTTCTAGAGTTCATGTTCTGTAAGATTTGAATATATAGGCGCCTTCCGACTCAGACTAGGTTATAGGGCCTAGGTTATATAACGTTTAGGGTTCAGGATTATGGCACCAGATAGGTAGTTTTCTAAGTTAGGGTCCCTTTGGGGTCCTTTTTACAAGGGTGCCGTACTGTATTGGGGACCTAAACGGGGACGCTAGTTTAGGGAACTACCCAGATACATCAGAACCCTAACCACTAAACCCTTACTAAACCCTTAAACCCCAAAACCCCTAAACCCTAAACCCCAGAACCCTACTCTAACTAAGACGGCCCCTACACTTGTCCGGAGGATTCCTCGACCTGATCTAGGGTTTGTCAAGAGTTACTGCTTAAGAAACCCAATGGTTTAGGATTTACCCTAAGGCTCCTATTGCTGTTATGGGCATTGGGGGCTAAGGTTTGAGCTTTCACTATGGAGGTCCATGTGAATTAGGGTAGGGTTTAGGGATATAGGAACCTGATTAAGAAGCCCTCTGTCTTTACTAGGGTCCTTTACATATATCCTAACATTGTAGGGCCAGGGTGTCTTAATCAGGTTCCTACATTCGGGGGCGTCGGGGGGTCCCTGTACTTATCTAGTGTTACATTGGACTTTAAGATGTTGCTGCACAGCAACGTACTTATTCAGGATGAAGGTATATGCTAGTTGTAAGGCTATATAGGTACTTGGAGCTGCAGAGGAATCAGAATGTAGGGTATCACATGGTTGCTTGCTAGCAAACCTGCGTTCTTGACAGAAAGAAGCAACCCTAAACCCTAAAACCCTAAACCCCTAAACCCCTGAATCCTAAACCAGGTAAGAGTCCGCGATTACTCTTTCGCTGGGAGCCGTTGGCGTGTTATCGACACGCCGGGCCTCGGTGACACCAACAAGCCTTACGAAGTCACCAAGGCACCTTAAGGACGAAATGACCCTGAAAAGCAGGGGCCCTATACAATTATGCTATGAATCCCTATATGGTATATGAGCCCTAAACCCTTTTCGGGTTCTTTTCGTCCTTAAGGCAGAGCTCCTGCAAACCTTCCGCTATGCGCCACACGGCATTGCTGGCTTCGTCGTCGTGGTCCCAAAGGGACGGTTCACATCGGAGATGGAGCAGCATGTACGCGATGCGCTGGACATTTTTGGCGGGGAGGTACGGGGTTCCGAAAGTAGGGGACCCTAATATAGTATCCTAAATAGTAGGATCCGTATTATAAAGGCCCCAAAATAAGGTACTCCAATTTTCGGAAAGTCCCAGGTGGCTATCCGACACACGATGATTGCTGTGACCCGTGTGCAGGACGCTCCAGAAAAGCTGGTGGACTCCAGATTCTGCAGTAGCAGCCTTTTTAGGGTTTAGGGTTTAGGGAAGTTGAGGGTTTATAGGGTTTAGGGTTTAGGGAAGTTGAGGGTTTATAGGGTTTAGGGTTTATACTATAGGGAAGTTGAGGATTTTTAGGGTTTAGGGTTTAGGGAAGTTGAGGGTTTTATAGGGGTTTTCATTATCAGGGCTCCTGACTCAGCAGCTTGGGGAAACGAGGGTCCCCCTCATCCTGAAACCGTATGTAATCTTTTCAGAACCGTTCTGGACCCCCGCTTTCCCCCCGCTCCCCCCGTTAGCAAGGTTGCGGGCAACCGCACCCCTATACTAACTATAGATCCCTTACAGACGCAGCCTTAAGACGAAATGAGCTCTAAAAGGATTTAGGGTTCATATACCATACAGGGATTCATAGTATAAGGATATGGGGCCCCTACTTTTAAGGGTCATTTCGTCGTTAAGAAGTCTACAACCTTTGTAGAACCCGTAAAGGCACCCCGGATTGACCACCAAAAGGGAAGCCTTAACCTGGTTAACGGAATTGGGACTTTCCGAAAATTACGGTAGCTTATTTTGGGGTCCTTATACTAAGGATCCTACTATTTGGGGTTTTATATTGGGGTCCCCTATTTTCGGAAACCCCCAATTCCATCTAAGTTACCCGGACAGGGGTCTGTAGTGAATACCATGGTTTCCTTTTTTGGGGGTTTACTTGCAGCAAGTTCCTTAACCAGAACCTAAAGGACGACATTATGCGATTGCCTCAAGAACACACCTTGCGGCGGCTCTGTGAATTGGTCGGGCAGCGCATCCTGCCAGTGTCTGAGCTCTTGTTGAGGGGTTTAGGGTTTAGGGTTTAGCGGTTTAGGGTTTAGGGTTTAGGGTTGAGGGGTTTTAGGGTTCAGGGTTATGGGTTTGACGCTTTAGGGTTTATAGGGTTTAGCGGTTTAGGGTTCAGGGTCTTGCCGGGCTTATGGAGTTTGGAACTTAGGGTTTACTGGTTTGGGGTTCAGGGTTCTAGGCTTTAGGACATTGGCTTGGTTTTGGAAAGGTTATATACAGAGCTCTCTGTTGGCCTTGGAGGTTTTGTGGAACGTAGATAACGCTAGCACAGTGCACGTAGTTGGTACATGTGGTGACTAAAGTGCTTTCCTTATTGTGATAATATACCTTGCACCAAGTTTCTTGAACCAACCCAAAACCCTAAACCCTTATAGAACCAACCCCAAGCCCTAAACCCTTATAGAACCAACCCCAAACCCTAAACCCTTGTAGACAAAGAGCTCAGGTTGAGAACATAAAGGAGCCGGCAGTTGCAGTGTCTCGGCTGCTCCTCCACCGCGGTGTGGACGAAGTCCTTGAGATGAACCTGGGTCCTTGTTGGATACAATTTTACACTTTTTTCAATAATAAAACCTAATCAAGATTAAAAATGATCATTTCAATATGACACATTTTTGTTATAATAAAACTTAATAAAGATTAAAAATGATCATTTTTTGTTATAATAAAACCTAATAAAGATTAAAAATGATCACTTTTTGTTATAATACAACCTAATAAAGATTAAAAATGATCATTTTTAATATGACCCCAAGAGGGAACCAGGAACGGTGAAGAGCGCTACTTCCCGACGGCAGCCGCAGCGTCATCGCCGTCCGTGCCGATGTCCTTCGCTGCCGATGATGTATTTCAGTCTCGATGCTCCACTAGCTGGACCCAGTGTCTAGGCCGTCTGGAAACCAATTTTCCATTCTGGCGTAGTTTCGTAACCTAGGTCCTAAACCTTAAACCCTAAACCCCAAAAGAAGGATGAACCCAAACCCTAAACCTTCAACCCCAAAAAGAAGGATGAACCCAAGCCCGAAACCCCAAACCCCAACCCTACATTCCTACATCCGTCAACTGTCAACCCCCGACCCTCAACCGTACACCCTTTTTCCTAAACCCTGACCCCTAAACCCTCAACCCTAAACGCCAACCTTAAACCAAAAGTCTCCCTAACCCCTAAACCCCCAGACCTTAAACCCTAAACCCCTAAACCCTAAACCCTAGACCCCTAAACCCCTAAACCCTAAACCCCCAGACCCTAAACCCCTAAACCCTAAACCCTAAACCCCTAAAGCCCTAAACTGCGCCAAGAGCAGCCAAGGTCTGAGGGCACTCCGCGTCTGGTGATCACTTGCGACTTTCCCAAGCTCGGAGAAAATGGCCGACGGGATTTAGGAAATTTCGGGTTTTACGGGATGTTTCGACTTTAGGGAAGGGTTTTAGGGGATTTATAGACTTTAGGGATGTAGGGGTTTCGGGTTTAAGGATTTAGGGTCTTAGGGGAATTTTTCGACTTGAGGGATGTAGGGTTTTCGGGTTTAAGGATTTAGGGTTTCGGGATTATGGTCTAATTACGGCTTTGGTGTCTATCGAGGTTTTAGGGTTCAGGGTTCAGGGGTCCCAATAGATTTGAAGCCCGTAACCAGTATGTATAAAGCAGGGTTTCGTTGTAGAATTATCTTATGTACCTACCGACCTACCGACCTGCATATCAACCTACTTACCCATCTATCTGTGTACTCATCCATCCATCCATCCATTGGGTCCATCCATCCATCCATCTACCTGTCTACTTATCTGTAGGTGCATTTATTTATGCATCCGGCTTATCCTTTTAACTATCTAACTAACTAACTAACGAACGAACTATCTAACTAACTAACTAACGAACGAACGAACTAACTAACTAACTAACTGACTAACTAACTAACTTACTTACTTACTTACTTACTAATTAAGCTATTCCAGAATCTGTCTACCTGGGCTCGAACTATGCTTGATCGATCGGTCGACTTATCCATCCATCCATGCATCCATCCATGCATCAATCTATCAATCAATCAATCAATCTATCTATCTATCTATATGCATATATCCATCCATAGACTTTAGTCAGGATACCCCTGGACACGAACCATCTTTCTGTGTCTCGTTCTGTCTATCTGTATAACCGACACAAGCAGACTATATAGGTGTGTTGTTTCGAGATATTCAAAACCATCCTGACCAGT